CCGCCCGCCCGACCGCCCGCCCGCCCGACCGCCCGCCCGCTCACGTGATAACATAATACGTCCCCGTCTTCGACGGGCGTATAAAAATAATGATCAGTTTTGTTTTCTGCCTCACTTTTGAGGCATAGTTATGTTGATCCAAATAAGCAAAAAAAAGCACTTGGAATGTCTCAAAATTATATTGTATTGGATAGAAAGTATACATGTATTTCAAGCCTGAATCTATTTGTAAATGAAATGTGGTATATTAGACTTTTATTTGTTGAAATAATGTAAAAGCTTTTTTCTTTCATCAGAATGTCCTCAGTTTCTTTAAATGACAAGAACAGGAACTGTATAGTGATGAATTTCCACCCAAAGAAGTTCAAAGTAGTGAGCTGTGATGAGTACCACTTCTTTATTTGCGAGTTAAACTTAGGTAATCATGATTTAAAGAACCTACCACTCCTTGGTGTTGTCATCCTCGATACTCCAGGGGTTACGCTCATACTCCAGGGGTTACGCTCATTTTGGCTTTGTGCACACCTGGAATATGTCATAACCGTAATGAAGGCTGTGTGTGCACCAGTTGTGGATGAGACAAGAAGACTAGTTTGATCCTTTGATGAACATAAAAGAATTGACTGGCTTTGAAGTCTGGTGTCACTCCTCTCTAATCTTCAAAGGACTAGTATCAGCCTAGCGATTGGTCAGTTTTATTTTTACACAAGACTAATCATATAGCTAGCTGTGTGCCTTCAATGTTGCTATGACATATTCCAGGGGTTCAGAGAGAGTGAAAGTGAGAGTTACCCTTAAGGAGTACCGAGGATTGGTCGACAGAAGAATCTTGACTAAGTGTAAGATTTTTGAAGTTGAATAGTTGAGTGCTTAACTTTAAAAACATCATTCTATTCTGAGTGGATGTATTAACGTCTGCATCAAACAGAACTGATTTATTATTTTTCCCAAACTTTCTTACCGTGAAAGGAGAATTTATGGTAATATAAAATGTCTATTGCGGTAAAACACCTTTACCAAACCCCAGGAGACCTTGGAACTAATTCAGATTAGCCTACATTAGTTAGAAATATTGGTCAACATGATCAAATTAATTTCATTTTGGTGACCTTAAATATTTCTTTTACTTTATAGTAATAGATAGTCATACTTCTGATTTCAAAATAGTGGATGACAAAGTATTTATTGTTATTTTCATCATAAAAATGTACATTAGTATCACTAATATCGTAAAATAATTATTAATATTGATGTCTGGTATTTACAACAGATCACAGTCATATCTACACAGTACAAGCAGAAGTTGCTGAAGGAGGACATCATGGCAAGTAATATTATGTAAAAGCAATTTGCAGAAAGATTAGTAATGAAAATAACATTATGGTAACTTATAAGATTGCTTTTCTGGAAGTCCCCCTTGTACGAATTCCATAAGAAGGGGAGAAAATATTTTTATTCATCATGCAACTGTATGTATAAGAATTTGCAAGAATTTGTATTAGGCCAAGCAAAAAAATAAAAAATACTTGTGTTTCTGCTAACAACCTCAGAAAATGTTTGTCCCCCATCGGTTCCTGCAAAGGTTGATATTTCCTGAATTAATATGCTCACTATGAATATGACATTGTGTATTTACCATACAAAATATTTATTATGTAATATTTTTGAAATATTTCAATTCTTCCTTTCAAAACGCAGAATTTCACTTTATGATATTCTCCAACAAACGCTTAATTTTGGTATTTGCGTTTTTCTTTTAAGGTGAAGATCACTATGTCATGGAGGACATAGATTTTGTCTGGATTATCATTGGTGCAGTAGCAGCTGTTGCTCCAATAGTTTTATGTATAGTACTTCAGGTAAACAGGTCAAAAACCATAAATATTGATTATAGTTCATGTCAGGTGGAATGTGAGAGGTCAATTAGGATACAGGATCAAAGTTTGCATCAGAGAGAACGGGACGTTGAGGCGTCCGAAGCTTGTCTTGTTCAACCATCAGTACAACAACCTCCAGTAGAACCCTTGCCTAACCCTGGACCCGTGTCAGAGCCATCGGCACCTCCACTGAGTGAATTGCAACCAGTCATAGGACCCCCATGTTCTGACCAAGGAGCACCCCCATCTTACTGGGAAGCTGTGTATACATCATAACTGGCCACATTTTGTAGGTCACACCCACATTTTGTAGGTCACACCCACATTTTGTAGGTCACACCCACATTTAACGTCTTAGACCACCAGTCACTTCATGACATGTGCCGGTAATCAATATCTTCTTGCTTTCACTGATGTTACCCATGGTGACCCAGGTGGAAATTTCAGTATTGTTTCGTTTTCAATCTCCATGTTTTTTCATTATTAATTGCCAGAGGTTTTATGTTTGAATGGTTTCAGTAGAGAGCATATTTATACTAATTTATTATTTAAGTTTGAATTGTTTGCTGTTTTTGTTTTGTTTAAATTGCTGTGAATTCAACTTTTGTTACACATTTCAAATTGTTATTTGTTGACATTCTGCATGATGAAATAAATATCATATTATTAGAGGTTGGCATATCTTACATTCACTTGGGCGACATCAATACCATCAGAGTGATTTTAAACACTGTCATGTCCTATAAATGCAGTATATTGATATATTATCATATGTATTAATACATCAGTATCATTATTTTCCACCTTAAAATTTGTTTATAAAACATTATTTCTGATTTTGACAGTCATTTCTTGCCAAGTACTTCGATCTGATATTCATATTCCATCAACAGAGGCTGGTATTTCAAGATAGTGCCCTTAGTTACTCATTCACCCCTGAAATTTCATAATGAACTATTTCAACCTTTGAATTGGAAGAGTTCAAATGTGTCTGCAGGGGTGAATAGTTAATGTAATTATTTCTGAATGTTTTTAGGAAAATTTACATATTTATCATTTTTCAAGTACAGTGTGCTTTGTTTTTGAGCATGTGTTTAATTGAATGATATTAAACTCAACCCAGGGTGACTTTCAACTATCTTATTGATGTTTTTATATTTGTTTTGATTGCAATTTCTATTTTAATGATTGATATATATGTACATATTCATTGTTGATAAAAATGTTACTTTTTTATTTTTATTATAGTTTGATTAATTAAGTTTAAATCTTGATTTTGATACTAACATGTACAATGAATATTTTCAAAATAGAAATTAAACAAAAATGAAGTTTATATACACTGTTGTTAAAAGTCAAGGTTGTGATATTTTTATTGAGTTAGTTATTATAATGACATATTGTTGTAATTGTGTTTTAGATGCATATGGTGTTGTTTTACAATTTTATGTACAAAGTGAAATGTCTTTACTTTACTGTTTTGTTTTTGTTTTGTTTGTAATAATTCTTGACCAGTAATCGGTTTATAAATAAGTATTCAGTCTTTGGAAAATTGTACATGTAGCTTTCAATTGTGCCAAAATGACTTTTGTTTTGATAACATTATTAATTTCTAAGATAGTCAGATTTGATAATTTAATGGTTTCTATTTTGTACACATCACATACTATTTTTAAAATCTTAGGGGGAACAGTTTTCTAAAAAAAAGAAATGAGCATAATAAATATTATATTCCTTTACTTCCATTTAAAGTGATAACATTTTTTAAAATAAAATAAATATCATTTTAATAGCAATACAATTTGTATGTTGGTTGGATTTGATATCTCAATATGATTGATGTATTGAGGAGAAATAAATAATAACCACATCTGACCATTGTGGGTAATTACAATGACAAAAACAAGTGGCCGACCATGTAATCGTTTGTGTGGGTGATATGGTAAATTACTAGTAACTAAGAACCTTTGTTCTCACAAACATTTCTTTGTTATATTCCATTATTGCATTTAAATTGTAAACAAAATTAACTGAACCTGTAGAACACTATGCTTTGTATGATCAGTGCTAAGCAAACTGGAAAAAATCAGTGAAACTAAGATATTTCATATATATTTAAGTGTTAATGTTTTTTATACGCCCAACGAAATTCGATATTATGGTATAGCGTCTGCTTGCGTGCGTCCATCCATCCGTCTGGTCAAAGTTTTGGTGCAAGTTTCTTCAGTGGTCTACAGTTCAGTCAGATCATGTGTTATTATCCTAATTTTTGGCATGGATGTTGAAGTGGGTCTAACAATGACAATATAATTTAATTTGGGAGAACATTTCTATTTTTGTAAATTTTGGACTTTAGCAACAAAAGCATTAGTGCAAGCATTTTTATCACATAGACATGACACTTGCTTTCAGGTAATTTAAATAACAAACAAACAAAAAATCATTGGGTAGGGTCAGACGGGCATATTATGCATCCGTTTTCGGTTCTCTTGTTTAACATTACAATTTTTTTGAATGCCAAGACTATTTCATTTTTGACATTGTTCAATCAGATGTTCTTGTCTGCTTCATATTGTCTGATCAATAATATATTTAGAAATGATGTAAATCATAATAATGTAATGATTCTTAGCATTAATGAATATAACTATATTGGTAAAATCATATTCTATATGTGAAATGTTGACCAAATAAACAAACTATAAAGCACTCTTTTGTTTGATTAGTGCCAAGTAAGTGGAAATGTTCAGAGAAACAATAAGTTGATTTTATGCACTTGCGCAAAACCATCTTCCGTCTAACCATCTGGCATCAACTTTTAACTTGAAACAGCTTTTTCTGAATAACAAAGTGGCCTAGGGTGATGATATTTGACCATTATCATACTTAGATGACTGACTATAAAGTTCATTAAAATGAATGACCTTGAATCATCGATATTCAACATCACTATAGGAGGCACAGTAGTCTAATGGTAGGACGCCAGGCTCGTGACTGAGAGGAAGATACTTTGTGGTATATATTATCATAGAATTATTATTACCACAGGGGTTAATTGTCTTAAAAAATCGTTAAATATATTGAATAACTAAAAAGACCAGGATGATGATATATGGTCGGTAACATAATGGGAAGAAGGGCTACAAAGTTTGTTCAAATGAATGACCTTAACCCTTTTGAGGTCGCAGGTGTCAAGTGTGTTAGCCAAAAAGCCTAGGACGATATTTGGCCAGAAGCATGCTCGGATGAAGTGTTACTGATTTTTTTTAAAGGAATGATCTTCGCCATATTCAAAGTCACATGAATGAATGGTCTTTAAAAAATTAAACAACTCCTCTAAATAATCAAGACCCGGGTTCATGATATTTGGCCAGTAGAATGTAGGGATGAAAGGATTCCAAGTTTAAATCATTGACATTAAGCCATATTCACGGTCACAGGGGCAAATTATCTAAAAAGAAATTTCTGCTGAAACCAAAAGTCCCAGGGTGGTGATATTTAACCAGTAAACATGCTGGGATGAAGGGCTCCAAAGATCGTTCTAATAAATGACCTTTACCCTTTTGAGGTCACAGGTGTCAAGTGTGTTAAAATCTTAAAACAACAGGCTCAAGGTGATGATATCTTGATAGTAATAGGCTTGGATAAAATAACTTCAAGTTAAAATGAATTACCTTGAACTTTCAAACAACTTCTTCTAAATTATTAAAAGGCCCAGGGTAATGATATTTGGCTGGTAGCATGCTAGGATGAAGGGCTACCAAGTTTGTTCGAATCAATAACCTTGACTTATATTCAAGGTCATAGGGGTCAAATATAACAAAATCTTTAAATAAATGTTCTTAACACCCAAAAGGCCAAGGGTGAGTATCTGGCCAGTTGCATGCAGAGATGAAGTGCTACAGTTTGTTCAGATAAATTACCTCAACCGGCTTTCAAGGTCACTGGAGTCTAATGTGTGTGTAAAGTGTTAACTGGCCTCTTTTAAATTACCAGACCCATGTTGTTGATATTTAGTCAGTAACATATGAATATGAATGGCTACAAATTTTGTTAAAATGAACAACATTGACCCATTTTAAGGTCACTGGGATAGAATTAATGTATATAAACCTGTAAATTAACTCTTTTCAAGAAACAAAAGTCCTAGGTTTATGATATTTAGCTGGTAGCATGCTAAGGTGCAATGTTGCACAGCTTGTTCAACTTAATCACCTTTTCTAGACTTACAAGATCTGAGGGACCAATTTGTAAAATCTTTTGATAAACGGCTAGGAGTCAGTAGTAATGCTGTTTTACCCGCAGCTTTATTAAGTCCCTTCAAATATTTCTGATCCGGGGCCACTTTTAAGGTAACAAGTTTGAGATTAATACCAGGCGAGCGATGTAGGCACATTGGGCTTTTTGTTTAACATCAACATCTCGCCTGAACACATTTTCATTGAGGGCATTGTTCTAACTGATTTTCTCTCCATATCTAACTGGTCAATAAAATATCTTGACATGATACAAATTACAGTAATGCGTTTATTTATGTGACGGTTTGTGTGTTAAAGTTGTCTATTTTTCATTTATATTGCATATAACAAACAACAGGTGATATATTCACAGCATTGACCTCCCGTTTGTTAATTAAACATATTGCAGATGTAGTCTGATTCTACTTATTATAAATAGAGAATATTACATGATTTTTCATTTCTTATGAGATTCTAAATCACCATTCAGTGCAAACTGTATGAGTCAAATAATACGGCAGGAACTACAAAAACGATACATGTTTATTCTAATAGTTCACATTTTATTGTCATACTCTTTTATGTTATTTTTCTTCCAGATTTCCCTTCATAAATGATGTTACTTAAATCCTTTAGATAAACGCAAGTATTTTAAAGAAATAAAACAACAGTTAAATAAAGGAAAGTAAATTTCAAATGCAGTAACAGCCAAGAATGATGTTTGTTAACGGTACTTTTGCTCCATATGAATAAACATGTGGTATATTTCCATGAAAATTTAATAAAATCAACAAATAGAGCAAAGCGATCATGAATCATTTTCTTAATCCATGTTTCAGTTTATGAATGAATATTCTACAATTCACTTTTACCAAGCATTTACAATGATCAAAATATTTGCTTACTTGCGTAAGGCTTCTCTTATAACCTTACAAATTGTATCTAGTTTAAGAAAAGGTGAACCGCAATATTCAAAAGTAAAAAGATGAGATGAATGTAGGTGATGTTCACTTTTATACCGTTGATTCGACGAGTGAACATGCGACAAGTCGTTTATTCCCTTTACGAATTCGTTTCAATAACTTTTCCCAAAATAACTTCCTTGCTGTACCGAGTCTTGTTTTATCGGTGTTGTGTTCATTCGGCCATTGTAATGGACGTATTTTATCCCAGATGTCTCGGATGAGTTTTGGAAATTCGCTTTGTTTCATGTCATCTAACAAAATAATAATATTCATATTTTCTCTTCCTTCACGAAATGAATATCTACTAGCTAATTTCATAGCGAAGGTTTGCCATTCGTATTCAAGGAATTTACAGCTGACTACAAACACAGTTTGATATGAATCATCTATGGCACCCATAATGTTATCACATAAGTCCAACCCAGTGTCGAATGTTTTATCCTCGGCACTATATTCGATATCATGTCCTTCAAGCCATGTAGCTAAACATTCCCGTATCCATCGGCAATCCTCTCTGCAGTATGAAACGAAGATGTCATACGGATATGTGTCATGTTCGACTGGTTGACGGCACAACGACCGTAAACGCACGCTGTATCGCCAGGCCAGTCGGAGGACAATACCAAACACTAGAACAATTACTGCAAGACTGGTAGAGACGGTCAGCCAGAACTGAGATACACAGTGAATTCTAAATTCATGAAATGATTCCAGTAACTTTACAATCTTCATGTTATTATGAACACACACAAGTTGGTCTTTGTCGTATATAGCCTGAGTCGTGCCTATCCAGGAAATGAAGTCCAGGCTTTCACAATCACACACTAAAGGATTACCAGCAAGTTTCACTGTGAAGTTATCTGACTTTGATTGATAGTTATGAAGGAGTGTATATTCTGAATAGGTTAACGAGGAAATTCGATTGTTCCTGATATCGAACATTTCTAAAACATTAAGTTGTTTTAATATTTGAAAAGGAAGACGTTCCATAATATTATCAGCAAGAACTATTGTTTTCAGCGATTCTGTTTGGTCTATAAAAGTGTTTGAGTTCAGATTCGCTATTTGATTGGATGAGAGATCGACGTAAGAGAGACTGTCCAACCCCTTAAATAGAGAACGTGTATGAAAAGTTCTGCTATTACCTAGTTGACTCTCTCTGGCCCTAAGTTTTGAAAGCATTAACATTTCAGTAAACATTTCTGGGTGTGGCGTTGAACAATCAATTCCAGATATGTCGAATTCGGTTAAGTGCTCCAAACCTTTCATTCGACCACCACATTCTAATGACGGCTGTTGGTAACTGATGTCCAAAACCTTCAGATTGTTATTTTCAACAAAATTCACATAACCGAAAATTGTTAATTGGGAATGTGTAAAATTAAGATAAACTAGACTGTTTGGAAGATACACGCGTTGATCGAAAATATTGCTGCGTTTCCTTAAGAATACAGATCTCTTGAACGAGCAATCGAAATGCTGAATCGACGGAAATAGTTTCAGAATAAAAAAGACCTGAGGAGAATGAAGAGAGTTTCCAGACAGATCTAAATACTTTATACAACCTCTACTAGTCCACGATAACACAGCAGCTATACTAATACTCTCGATTGCATTATCGGACAGAATAAGTTTCCTCACGCAAACAGTGCTGAGGAATCGTATGTCCCATTTCCCTAAACGGACAGTTCCAGCATTACGTGCATAGTTGTAACTTAATCTGATTGTTTCCATAGTTCTCCCGCGTAATCCGTAGATAATAGGCAAAACAGAACGAATATCATTGTATCGGCGCGAATTCAAATACAAGGATGACAAGTTTTGAAATGGATACAAAGCGTTACTTTCTAAAACTTTCGTTTTTACAAAAAATGTCAAATCGGAAATGTTCATTATCTCAAGTCCTTTGAATGATGTGTTTCTAATTGACAGTTTCGAATCTTGATGAAACTTCAAAGTTTTCAAATTTGTCAAATTCAAAAATTCCTTCCCGAAAATGAAACCATCAAATAAACCTATAGAAAGACTTTCAATTTGTGGCAAAGACCGAAAAATAGTTTCTGGAAAGGTGTTTTTCAAATAGAATTTGTTATCATTTATACTAAAAATCCGCAAGTTATTTAAAGGTTGAAATACAGATCCTTTAAATGAGGATACATCCAGCAGGTTGTATGACAGATCTAGGTGCTTCAGGTTTACGAGATGGTCAAATGCTCCTGACCATATAAGTGACAATTTGTTCCGTGTAAGTGTCAGATGTTCTAAAAATGGTAAATTATTGAATGATTCTCTAAGAAGGCTTTTCACATTGTTCCAGCTTAGATCTAGAAAGGTTGTTTTCTTTGGTACATCCAGAGGGATGGCCTGCAGATGACACTGTAAACACATGACTTGCAAAGCATCATCTGTTCTTTCAATATTGCAGCAATCAGGTAGTCCGTCTGAAATAGTAAAAACAGATGAAAAATGACACATATATATCATAATTATAATAATAATAATTTGAGATTCCTATATACCGCATTATCACAACATAGTTCGTAGGTCGTCTCAAAGCGGTTCACAAATTATTATCCGTGGTTATGGGGCCTGTGCAACCAGCCAATATCTTTCCCAACCCCTTGAGGAGTATACAGCCAGTGCTGCCATTTCGGCGCTAACAGCTAGCATTCAACAATTCTAGCACTGCCCAACCACGTACTCATTTACAGAGTAGACTGGAACAAGCGGAGTAAAGTATCTTTCTCAAAGATACATCACAGTGCCGTGCCGTGACTCGAACCCGCAACCCTTGGGTCACGAGCCCGGCGTCATACCACTAGACTACCGTGCCTCAATTCTTAAGATATTGCTACAGAAATGTAGTGTGAACAGCATAATAATAACACCAAAAATGCTTTGGTTTGTTTGGAATTTATTTTGAATTCAACGCCCAGCGTGCCATACAATACACAAACACGCACTTTAAACGCTCGAATAAATATATGACTGTAAAAAAACATGGATGGCTTAGAGAAATTCGATGAAACCAAGGACAACGTAAACTCATTAATAGAGATGCACGTGAGGTTAAAAAAAAACATAAATTGGCAACAAAAAACTGAGATTTTAGTCTTAGCTTTTATTGATATTGTTAAAGAAACTATTACAGATGAAGGTAAAAATTTAAAAAAAAAGTTGTAAATTAAATTGACAGTTGTTTACCGAGCTTAGTCTTCAAGATTTGCTCTACCGGATTATATACATACGGCGTAGCATAACGTAGAGTAAGGTAATCCGTATGATGAATAAGTGCGATCGGCGTGCATGAATGGAAATGGTCACATATAGGTATTTGGCAATGAAGCCGGTAGTATAATGCTATCATATACTGTCATTATTTATTGTATTTGTTTGCATCCGGCTATACCGTTTGCTACTGTTTAAATTGATTAACGATTATTATGTTAAATAAGTTTATAGATCTTGTGATTTTCCATTTTCACGCATATTCAGACTAATACCCCGATCGACCAAAGATAAACGAACCTTGGTATGGTTTCATGAGCAGAAAACACGATTTTACATCAGTATACAGCGACAATATGGAATATCTTCTCAAAATTGGAAGATTCTGCAAACATTTATTGGTTTGGCCGATCTGATGAGTTACAATAAACAACTTTCGGTTTTTATTTAAAGTGTATCAAAAAGATAAGAAAGCTAGTGGAACAGTATTTTGAAGCACATTGAAACACAGTTAGCAGTGTAAGTTTAAACCGGAAATCATGTCCCAGTTAATTGAGTTTATAAATCACCTAGAATTGCTTCAGGTAATGAAATCTCAGAAAGGCATGTTTACACAAACAGTAAGTTAAAAATCATTTTATACTAATTCAATAGGGCATACTCCATTATAGACGGTGTTTACATATACAAGAGGTAACATACAGCATCACAAAGAAGTTTGACAAAACATAAAATGTTTACCTGTTACGCTAATATTCCAGATGAAAAAGCCTACAACAGAAAGTAAGTGGACCCACATGCTGTCGTATGGTCTGACATCCAGGAAGTATATGAGCGGTATATAAACTCATAGGTAAGATTTTGTGTTTGTGTGTTTACGTCCTGGTTATGTTTATTTTTGACTGAGCTTCCTGTTCCGCTCAAAAGCCTTGTTAGCTTGTAAAGACAATTGTTTAATTTAGCCTTGGTCTTGGTATATTGTTCTTTAATATTAAGCCTGGTTTTTTATTTTAACAAATTGAAAGTAATTAACAACGATTTAATATTTTCCTTAACCTCGTGTCACCGTATTTAAAAAGTAACATCTTGGTCCGTATAATTACTTTCCCTTCTATATTGAGTCCACCCTTCAGTTGGATGACTGTGTGGCTTTTCCGGCTTTACACGTTAACTTTTGGTTCCCCTTTAACTAGTTTGTATTAATAAAAATGATCAGATGACGTCATATCAACGCCTGTTATTTGGTTTCGATGATATTTGTTGGCAAGGTTCCGAAGGTTCCATTAGTTTTTTAAATGTTCATGCAGAGATTCATAAATAGGATACCAGAACAAAAACAGATTTTTGTATAACTCTTATCCATATCCATATAGATATTTGACCAAATGCGAATTCATATAACTTTAAAAAAAGGTGTACAAAGGAATATGATAATGTCCTTTATTATCTATATACCACTTTATACCACATACTAGTAGCATGATATATTCATTATCGGGGGAAGTCAATATGAAAATACTCAAGAAAAAGAAGTTGAGAACATCTTGAATCCAAATTGAGAATGGATTTTCCCATTTGGGAACGTATTTTCTCAAACACGAACGTCTGCTCGAGCCAAGTGACGTATTGAACCGGAAAAGGTATCCGCATTAAGTGATCAGCGTAAAACACTGTTCGTCATAAACACATCAATATCATGTTTATAAAATATTGTGAAAATAACAACACAGTTAAGCGTTAAATATGGATTGGTTTGGTTTCATTGTGTTTAACGTCCTATCAAAATGTAACAGCTAAGGTCAGTTAAGGACGTGAGGATGTATAATGCGTAAGCGTTATTGTTTGTATGTGTGTCGGAGACATGGTATGTTGGTGTACTTACTGCCTTGTGAAAGCTCAGATCTGATGCCGACTTTATAGTGCAATCTCATCGATTTACCATGCCGAACGCAAACAGCACAGCATCCCGCCCAGTCACATTATACTGATAACAGGTTCACCAGTTGTTGCCATTATACTTAAAGCTGACCGTCATATACTGTCATTATTTATTGTATTTGTTTGCATCCGGCTATACCGTTTGCTACTGTTTAAATTGATTAACGATTATTATGTTAAATAAGTTTATAGATCTTGTGATTTTCCATTTTCACGCATATTCAGACTAATACCCCGATCGACCAAAGATAAACGAACCTTGGTATGGTTTCATGAGCAGAAAACACGATTTTACATCAGTATACAGCGACAATATGGAATATCTTCTCAAAATTGGAAGATTCTGCAAACATTTATTGGTTTGGCCGATCTGATGAGTTACAATAAACAACTTTCGGTTTTTATTTAAAGTGTATCAAAAAGATAAGAAAGCTAGTGGAACAGTATTTTGAAGCACATTGAAACACAGTTAGCAGTGTAAGTTTAAACCGGAAATCATGTCCCAGTTAATTGAGTTTATAAATCACCTAGAATTGCTTCAGGTAATGAAATCTCAGAAAGGCATGTTTACACAAACAGTAAGTTAAAAATCATTTTATACTAATTCAATAGGGCATACTCCATTATAGACGGTGTTTACATATACAAGAGGTAACATACAGCATCACAAAGAAGTTTGACAAAACATAAAATGTTTACCTGTTACGCTAATATTCCAGATGAAAAAGCCTACAACAGAAAGTAAGTGGACCCACATGCTGTCGTATGGTCTGACATCCAGGAAGTATATGAGCGGTATATAAACTCATAGGTAAGATTTTGTGTTTGTGTGTTTACGTCCTGGTTATGTTTATTTTTGACTGAGCTTCCTGTTCCGCTCAAAAGCCTTGTTAGCTTGTAAAGACAATTGTTTAATTTAGCCTTGGTCTTGGTATATTGTTCTTTAATATTAAGCCTGGTTTTTTATTTTAACAAATTGAAAGTAATTAACAACGATTTAATATTTTCCTTAACCTCGTGTCACCGTATTTAAAAAGTAACATCTTGGTCCGTATAATTACTTTCCCTTCTATATTGAGTCCACCCTTCAGTTGGATGACTGTGTGGCTTTTCCGGCTTTACACGTTAACTTTTGGTTCCCCTTTAACTAGTTTGTATTAATAAAAATGATCAGATGACGTCATATCAACGCCTGTTATTTGGTTTCGATGATATTTGTTGGCAAGGTTCCGAAGGTTCCATTAGTTTTTTAAATGTTCATGCAGAGATTCATAAATAGGATACCAGAACAAAAACAGATTTTTGTATAACTCTTATCCATATCCATATAGATATTTGACCAAATGCGAATTCATATAACTTTAAAAAAAGGTGTACAAAGGAATATGATAATGTCCTTTATTATCTATATACCACTTTATACCACATACTAGTAGCATGATATATTCATTATCGGGGGAAGTCAATATGAAAATACTCAAGAAAAAGAAGTTGAGAACATCTTGAATCCAAATTGAGAATGGATTTTCCCATTTGGGAACGTATTTTCTCAAACACGAACGTCTGCTCGAGCCAAGTGACGTATTGAACCGGAAAAGGTATCCGCATTAAGTGATCAGCGTAAAACACTGTTCGTCATAAACACATCAATATCATGTTTATAAAATATTGTGAAAATAACAACACAGTTAAGCGTTAAATATGGATTGGTTTGGTTTCATTGTGTTTAACGTCCTATCAAAATGTAACAGCTAAGGTCAGTTAAGGACGTGAGGATGTATAATGCGTAAGCGTTATTGTTTGTATGTGTGTCGGATACATGGTATGTTGGTGTACTTACTGCCTTGTGAAAGCTCAGATCTGATGCCGACTTTATAGTGCAATCTCATCGATTTACCATGCCGAACGCAAACAGCACAGCATCCCGCCCAGTCACATTATACTGATAACAGGTTCACCAGTTGTTGCCATTATACTTAAAGCTGACCGTCAAGCAGGGAAAAACAACTACTATTTTTAAAGACATTGCTATGTCCCGGCCTGGGACCTGTACTCAGAATGTTGGTTCACTTACAAATAATTGCTGTCATTATATCCCATTATGCCTGCATATATACTGGTACATGTATCTATCTAAACAGATAAATAATCAAATACATAAAGTATGATGTTAGTTCTCGTATTGTATAGTTGTATTAGGATGTGCCATTAATTTAAATCTTGTACTCTTATCTCGTGCTTCGCACCGAGACATTACTTCATCGTACGTTTTTTTTAATTATTACTTTTTATTAAATTTAATTTTTAGTTATGCTCAATGATTTGACATTTTCTTGCCAATTTTCCAATTGACTCCTGCATACGTTTTTGTTTTATTTTCATCAGACCCTGCATATAATCCTTCTGTTTTTCTAGGTTTAATTTCAATCTCGAAACATCACTGAATTCTTTTACCAATTTTAAATCTTTCGACTCTTCTTCGTATAATAAAATAAACACTTTTTATTCATTTATACACCTTTGATGTAAGTATCGTTTGCAACTTCGTAGCTAAAATTTATAAATATCAAACATGGAAGTGGACAGCCTTGTCTAATTCCTTTGGAGATATCATTATTTGCGGTTAACCAATTATTATTTTTGACACATTTTTTTATACTAGTGTACACAATTTTTACCCATTTAAAAATGCTTCACTAAACCCTAACTTATTTCAAACTTGCAAACATAAAATCCCACTCCATAGAACCAAACGTTTTTGGAAAGTCTAGAAACGAGATATATGAATCGCAATTAAACTTTTCCAAGTAATCAATTATATCCTGCATTTGTCTAATGTTAAAATTTATAAATCTGTTAGTTTATATATCCGTTTTGGTCCGTGCTGATATTTTTGTCATGATTGGGTTTAACCTAGCAGCGAGTATATGTACAGCTACTTTATAATCTGTATCTGTCATTTGGTTTGTAAATAAGAGAATCGACACTTTCTTTATGTGATGTATTTAACTCTCCTTCAATATATGATTCATTTCATGACTCCATTGTAATATGGTTCTGCTGTCCCAAAAGGTTTTTATAAAATCAAGAGATAACCCATCAGACCCTGGACTCTTTGTTTATTTTTGTATCTTTGTATAGTGTTTTACATTCGTTTAATGCTATTAAGCCATCAAATAACTGTGCATCATCAGCTGAACGTTTTCTCTCAACTTTGGATGATCTAATATACGTTTTTATTTTGTTCTTGTCAGGTTTATTTGTCTTATACATTTTTGCATAAAAAGATTCCATTCTGTTCGATATCGTGTCAGTCTGCTATAATATCCCCAACTTCATTTTTTAAACTAGTCATGGATTTTTTTTTACTCGTTTTTGTTTTTCAAGACTTAGGAAGACGTTATCGTGTTTCCCCTTATTCACCCACTTGATTCTGGATCTTATTTTCGCTTGAACATTAAACATGCGATTTAGTGTATTTTCTAATTCGTTAATTTTTATCTAAATTATTATTTACCATCTCTTTAATAATATTTAATTCATGTTATAACTTCTTTATTGTATTGGTTATATTTTTGCTGTTGTTTCTGCAATAATTTTAAGTGTGAAATGTTTTATCATCAATTTACAGTAGTCCCAATATTGGCGTTTATTAAGTAGAACATGCGATTCACTCAGTTTGAGGTTTTCTTTTAGGTTTATAATTTGAAACTGGTATTTCTCGTGTTGTAATTTACTATTGTTGATTTTCCAGAGTCCTTTGCCTTTATTGTCGCGTATGCCGTAACCTATTTTAACATACAGCCATATGATCAGTGTAAATAACTTGAGCAAGCCTTATATCGCAAGAACGAACATTACTTAGGTTTTCCAATAAAATATAATGTATTCTGCTTGCATGTTTGTAGTTTTTCATCTCCATGTAAAAGGACTTTTCATTTTGTTTTTATTTCTCCATATATCCATTCATTTATGTATTTTAACTTATTGTGATAGCCCATATGTCCTGATTTTCCTGAGGAAAATTATACTAAATTGATGTTTTCGCCACTCATAGACTTTATATCTTTTTTGTTTATTTCTCGAACCTTGCATTGTACATTCAAGGCTAACACATATAGTTTATTACGTTGGTTAGAGACTCTCAATCCATTATTTGAGGCCACACCAATTTGAAAAATAGTTCATGGGAATTTTTGTCAACCGTCTTCGTCCATCGTCCGTCGTGCGTTGTATGTAAAACCTTTTTTTACATTTTTGAACTATTCTCCAAAAACGCTGAATCAGTTTCAAAATATTTTGAAGGAAGGTTCCATACTCGTAGGCAAACGGAAGTTGTGAATTAAATGGAGATAAGGGGCCTAAGGGGAGGTGCCAAAGGGGGTCAAATTGGCACAATTCTCAACAATCTTTTACTCGAGACCCGATTGCCCTGGAATCAAATACTTTTCATAGATAAAAAGGTCCAATGGTACTTTATCAAAATTTATTGTGAATTCCACATCCCCGGGTCACATATTCCCCCTGCAGGAGGGGGTCAAGTTGACTACAGTTTATAAAGAGAAATAACGCTCTTGGTTATATTTTGTTTATTTTCAGTAGCATATAATTCAAACTTGGTTTGAATTATCACCATATGATTGCAAATTGCTTGTATGAAAATTAAGACCCTGCTGCACCCATATGACCTAAAAGGTCGGACCAAAAGGGCTTAAAATAAGCAGAAACTTCATCTTTCTTCTTCTCCAGACCAATATATGCTGGGAACAAAATAATAATCTTCATGGATGGAAAATTCAAAAGGTGTTTTATAAATTGTGAATTTCATTAGTTTATATAGAGAAAAAACTTTTGAATATTTCATGTTTATTTTCAGTGGGATAAAATTCAAACTTGATTGAAATTATCATCGTGGAATTTCAATTTGATTGAGGCTCTGACTCACTCATGGGGTCTTAGGGGTGGGGCCGAAATGTTACAATCAAAAACTCTTCATGGATGGAAATGTTCAAATCCCTTTTGTATAATAAATGCAAATACAAATACAGCATGTTTAAATCAATTTCAGTTGTAGAAATGTTTTCACTGCTTCTCAAAAACAGTTGTAGTTATTTACTCTAAATCGAACTAACTCATGTGGGCTCCTGTCTTATAAAACCCCTTGATATTGCTGACAAATTAACATAAAATCCTTTATGGCTTTATGAAGTTTGTCTGCAAAAGTAATGTGTGATATAGTACCATATCACCATTTGCTTAAACATTACGATGCTTTAATATTAACATTTGTTCTGTATACTCCCATTACAATGCATAGATAATTCAATACTTGTTGAGAACATGAAATATGATTTAATCAGGAACCACAATTGTGACATCGTCGATTTGATTGTAGCAACACCGATTTTACTGTTTAAAGAACTAAACAACCTGACGTTAGGTGATTGAAATAAAATGCAATATGTAAATGGTTAAGCTATGGTGGCATTCAGAAACAGTCCTGAATAAACACTTCAAGATATGCTGCCTGCTGAGAGCGCACGTGCTGTGGATTCAGGACTGTTTCTTCCGGTTTCCAGATCAGATGTCGACATCTTTTAGTTTGGATGTCGACATAAATGATTCATAATTTGGTGCCACATCCGAGCACAAACACGATATAAAGCCGAGTTTCCGACTTGCGCAATCTTTGATTTATTATCCCGACAAGTAGATTATGTCGACATCTTTTTAGTGATGTCGACATGTTCTCATATCATGTCGACATCATTAAGTCGCAAGGCGGCAACTCGATGGTAGAAACATGCCACCATATTAAGCAAATAATATTATGCCTCTACAGTACGCATATCTATTGGTGATAAGCTAATAAAAACCCTTGCCAGGCTTTATTAGGTAATAATTGATTACAAAAACAGACCAGGGGACTGACTCACCTGTCCAAGTGTTATATTTCCCTTTATTTTCTTATCTGTTTGTTTGCTGTTTGTTGTTAAACGATGATACGGCATATAGGGAGACACCGTCGAAAAGAAAAAATATACAGAAGAGAAATTAGTCAGGAAGGACACGGAATGAAGTTGTTGCACTTGGGGCAGCAGGTCGATTTAGGTTTCTTCCATGTTCTCTCCGTAGAAGACACAAAAGTAAAAACCTGATTCTACCAGGCCTCTACATAACTCACAGGCCTGCCTCTACATAACTCACAGACCTCTACATAACTCACAGGCCTCTACATAACTCACAGGCCTCTACATAACTCACCTTTTATGTATATACGCAGTGGATACAACAGGCATAATCTTGCGTTTTATTCAATATCCCCTAAACAACAGACAAGAAAGAAACCACTCCCGATTCTGCATGGGCCCCACAATAATCGCGTTTTGCGATAATGTAGTACAATACAGCAGCCCTATTTCCCGCCGAACCTGAATGGTTTTAATTATCTGAAACAAATCAAATACAAGGTACCAGTTTGAAAGATAGGTAACTTTTGTCTAAACAATAAACCAAAATCTGGACAGTTTTGAAGATTGTATTTTATTCTTGGTAACAGCACGAAGCAAACATATTTAATAAGGAACTACAAACTTAACTACATGGATTAAGAAACAAATTATATATTGCTGATAAGAAGTAGTACAGTTTAATTCTATTTTATTGCAAACGTAGCTATTAAACACGTGGCAAATTCATACCAAAATGATTTAATACAATTTTTGAATCTTTTATTGATAAATGGATATTCACACTAAATACATCTTTACCCCAGGACATCTTTATTATAAAACCAAGGTGATACTCCTGATGATTTTTGTATTTTTAACTTTTAACTTAAAATAAGTTTGATGTATTTCGTTTTGTGAAGGTCATTTCCTTCAATATTGTTTAGCCCGAAAATAATTAATTTGTTTTTTATTCCTTTAATTATTACAAAATATCGACTACAGAATCAAACATTTCCACAAAAATCCGCGCATCAAAATATTTTTTCAAATGTCGACGGGTATTGTTACCATATAGGAATCTATTCATTTGGACATTAATAAATTAAAATGTGTGTAATACAGTGATGTTGAATGCAACAAGCACAGGGAGAAAGTCCAGGCATATATATACATATATATATATATAGGTAGTATCTACTGAAACTTTGGTAAAATGCCATTTTCTGTCTAGGCTATTTTAAACCCCGAGAAGGTAGTGAATCGGCCTCGCAAATAACAAGAGCTTTTTGTAAACGGTGACGTAACTGCAACATGTACAACTTCTGTGTTTTTCAGTTCTATAACAGCAGTGTTGCTAAACGAAGCGAAACCATTCCCGTCATAGCCATAAGTACTTGTGACGTTGTTGTTTTCATGGAAGAGAGTGAGGACACAATGCTTTGCATAAGCATATACACTGCTGTGGAAATGGAAGACGTACACTCCGTCAACTGCAGACGTAAACACACCCGTATATTCGTTGTAAGCTCCTCCGACATTCGAGATGGTTTTGGTATACTTCAAGCTGCCACTGGTGTGCAGGGCGTTCTTGTCAGACAGGTATGCACTAAATGCATATTGTGAAGCTGCAATGTACATGTACATAATATTACAAGGACATGTATTTTCACCATTTCAACACATTTAATAGATGCATACCAACGGGCAGGACAAGAAGTGCGGCTTGTATTATTCTCTTTTCCTAGTTTAATGACGAATGAATATTCCTTGAATGCTGAGAATAGGGGAACAGAGAAAATGAGAAGATTGACGATAGATTGGATCAGACTTTAAGGCCAAATAAAGTGTGAAAGGTTATAAGGCTTCTTCATCAAGAGCGAAGTTCTTTTTGCACCCTCGATGAGCTCTCAAGTAGACACGAGCATATATTACGTTTTCGCTAGTGAATGACATTGAAAACAAAATTGACGTTTGACGTTGATACATTTCGAAGCCCAAGCGAGACTAGCAATGGCTTTAGAACATGCTTTCTAGTCACACTAAAGTGTTAATTATACTACACAAAAAGGACATTTTAAAAGCAAGTCGTGCTAGATAATAGCGGAAATTGTAGAATTGTAGGCTATGAACAATAGCGCGTAGCCTTGTTGTCAAGATTGAAGTTATTAGAATATGGTCCGAAAAAAAACTGCCAATTACATCACATTTAAAAAAAAAACTTCCATCTTTCCATGGACTACAAAATATGATGTTATCCTCGTTGAATATCATAAATAGTTTTATCGTGTTAAGCTATACGCGTGAAATACTTTTGTTGTTCAATTGGAAACCATTCAAAATCCCTTATAAGTAATAATGGAACATCTCATCAGATATCAAAAGTTTCGTCCAGATCAGGTACTTCTGGTGTCGTGTTAACATCAAAACTCTCAAATGTGAACTCAGGTTTAAAGTGAAAATGAAAATAATCGATATTTGAATTTCCTCCTAGGTGGTTACATGTATACCTTCAGAAAAGATTTCATCCTCCGAAGTATCGGACCAAGACCCATTTAAATTGGGTATAGATCGGACGACTTACTCTTCCTGAGACATATACGTTTGATTTTCAAAATGGATGTTGCACGCTTTGATATGACGATTCGTAAATGATTACGCCAATTATGGTTCACTTCCATCATTAGGATTACAGTTGTTATCCGTTAAAAGTTTTTTAATATGACAGTTATAATTAAAATAATACCTGACACTATCAGACATTTTGTTTTATTAGATATTAATACTTTTCGTTACAGCGATCATTAAATCAAAGCATTAAATATAAGAATATAATTGAATCAGAGGCATGGCCTTTGGCACTTTAGAAAATAATGTTTACCACGTACCATTGACAGCTTGTGTCGGGTTGGGGAGCGGTGTTATTTTCTTCTTCAATTCTCTTTCCATCTCGGCCATTTTCTCTTTCATTCTGTCGAGTTTGTCCTCCAAGCGGAACAGAAGACATTCGTATTCCTTTTCGGGGTTGACAATGACTTCCGTCATTGCAGTTTGCAGCTTCTCGTCTATTGTCGGTGATACAGCAGCCAGACCCGTAGATACCAACATCACGACGCTTAGGACAAAAGCAAAGATTGCCATGATCGTCGTAAACTTTTAAAACGAATAGCTATATGTAGGTTGCGGTAGACCTGTGAAGTGGTTTACTCTCAGTATGTGTTATCCTCAAACAAAATTTCGCAGTCTTTTATAGCCTTACACATACATCGATGCATGCCCCTTGATATCATGCTGTTACCACAGTCAATTTTGACTTATTAGGAAACGCAACAGCCCGGTAGGTGCATTTAAGTGCAACTTTAATTGGCACTGATCTTAGCAATTGTTGTTTTAAAAAACGGTTCGAAGTGTGATAAACAGCCTGTCATTAACAAAGGGTATAAGTAAACATCTAAACAATACCACTCGGTATCTCCTAGCACTTCCATGGTCGATGATTGCTATTAAATTCTTATTTTATTTTGGAGTTTTTGTGTTATGTTACTAAAAATAAACACTGTCAAGAAGATTAATGAAACAAAATTAAAACGTGTTCGATCAATTGTTAAGAAATACCACACATAAAAGAGGTTGCTCAATGTTTTCCTGTTGCAACATCAGCTTGTGTAATTATACATATACAGCTTGCTTTATAATCAAATTTGATCGAATATCAAGCTGTTGTCGGAATGGCGCATTAGTGTTGTTGGAACTTAATTTAGCTAGTTTAATCAATTACGCAGCGATAACAAAACAGATGTGGTGTTTAAGAAAATACGGAGAAACTGGTTTGTCTTAATGTCATATTCAACATTCAACATATTTCATACATGTATGTACATTTCATTAAATGAAGTGCATTATATTTATCACTATCAGAACAGTGATACGGGCCAACAAATGGTCGACAAAAACAAACGCAAAATAAAAACATCAAACAAACTTAAACGTAAAAGAACAACATGAATTTAAATATTGAAAGTGGTTATGGTGACTCAAATTTTATTAAAAAGACAAACAGCTTTCAAATAACCTAAAATTGTAGCGACAATTATATTTTCGGAAGAAGATTTAAGACATGTAATGTTATTATAGAAATGTTCTAGAGCTAAATGAAAGTCGATACAATCTAGTAACAAGTGCTTTACTGTAAATGGTTCCTGACACGCTATGCATTGAGGCTGGACTTCACCTTTTATTAAATAAGAATTGGTTATGTATGAATGACCCATCTGGAGACGGGCAAGGACAACCTTGTCTCGGCGCCTCTCTCTGTAGCTAGGATGCCATTCACCGATTTCAGGTTTAATAGAATGTCATTTGTTATCTACGCATTGATTCCAATTATTTTGCCACTGTGAACTTACAGATCTTGTTATAAGTGATTTGAAATCAGTTAAATGAAGCTTAAAATCTTCAGGTGGTAGTATTAGTGCTGCTTTCGCGGCACGATCTGTCTTTTTATTACCCGGTGTCCCCTCATGTCCAGGAACCCAGCAAAAGGTTATATGCTATTTTGAGGTATCTGATAATTTGTTGGTTGCAATACACGAAATGTCGTGATAAGAAACGAATCCATATGCGTTAACTCGAAATGGCTAATACATATATGGGCTTTATCGCGTGGAAAACAAGACCATGTACGAATTCAATGAATATGTGGTACGATGTGACGGATACCACAAACCACCTATCGGCCATTTTTTCACACTCATTCCCAAATAAGCATATACAACTAAAGACCAATGAAAACCTACATATCAAATTTGAAAAATATCTCTCAGTACTTTCTGAGAAATAGAGAAAGACAAAGTTACGTCTAATTACATATTTGTAAATAAAGTACTTGTGTAAGATGATGCCAGTGATTCGTGACTCATATAGTTTAGAGTTTCATCTGCTTTCCACATCTAACATTGAAATAAATGTCAACAAATTGATATGAAACGAACTATTTAACAACTCTGAAAGTGTTAGCGTAGGTTTCAGAACTAAAACATTGACGAAGATTCAGACAAAAGTGGCATTCTTTGTTCGGAAATCGAACATGCAGAAAAAAGTTAATTTACTTTGCAAATACGTTTACATAACTTTCCCAAAATAACTATCTTGCTGTACAGTCTTGTTATATCAATGCTACGTTCGTTTTGGTCACGCTAAGGAATTATTTTATTTCAGTAACTATAAGAATGTAAACAAAAACGAGCCGAGATGTCACATCGAGGTTATCGGCGAGGTCAGCAGTCTAAGGAATGTAACTCTCCCAAACATCACTACACTCTTTCCCGTTTTATGAAGGCTCCCTCTAGAGGTTGAAAGCTGCTGTTCATAAATCATTGATGAGGTGGTCATTTTTGTTTTTGTTTTGTTTTTGTATTGTTTAAGGGCCAATCAACAAAATGAGTCATTTAGGGCCAACAACATGGTAAAAAACCCATTCACGAAAATAAAAACATCAATACAGCAGTCAGACCTGTAGATACCAACATCACGACGCTTAGGACTATATCAAAGATTGCCATGGTTGTCGTAAACGTTTAAAAACGAATAGCGATATGTAAGTTATGGTAGACCTATAGAGGTGTCGCTCTCAGTAGGTGTTATCGTCAAACAACATTTCGCAGACTTGTATGGCCTTACACATATATCGATGTATGACTCATGATATCATACTGTTACCACAGTTAATATTGGATTATTAGGTAACGCAACATCCCGGTACGTGCATTTAAGTGCGAGTTTAATTGGCGTTTATCTTAGAAAGAACAGTTTTGTTTATAGTTAACAGACTGACTGTTCAAAGAATATTACTGGGTTTAATCTTTCACTCCTATTGATCGGTGATTGCTCTCAAATTCAACCTTCATCTTATGTTACAGAAAATAATCGCTCTGTCCAGGAGATAAAAGAACCAAAGTCAATATTGTTTTCGTAAGTATTGCAACATACTAGGACGTGTCTATCACTGCAAGCTTTATTGACGCGGATCTTAGCAGTTGTTGTTATAAAAAAACACGTCGGACTTAATAAACAGCTGGACTTGTCAAAGGGTATAAGTAAATATCTACACAATTCTATTTAGTATCTTCTTTCACTGTCTATGGTCGATAATTGCTCTCAAATTCATACCTTAATTGGGCGTCTTTGTGTGATGTTACTTAAAATAAACTCTTTCCATTAGATAGATGAAACAAAATTAATGTTCGATTGTTAAGAAATACCAAATATAAAAGAGGTTGTTAAATTCTTTTCCTGAAGCAACACAAGTTTATGTAATTATACATATACAGCTTGCTTTATAATCCAAATTTCATCCAATATGAATATGATTTTGTATTGTTTTACGGCCAATCGACAATTCGAGTAATTTAGGGCCAACAATATGGCAAAAAATGACATTCACGAAAATAAACACATCAAACCAAAACTTAATAGCTTAAAATATGTCAAGGATTAAAGAAATACATCAATATCGATCAAATTGGCTGCACAATATATATATTTTTTTTGTAAAGATAGAGTGTACACCCATCATTTATACAAAATTGAGTCCCCTTGGCTCAAGGATTCTCCAGACTAAATAAGGATAAACTCCCTCAATCCCCACGGTAGAAGAAGAATTTTAAAGGTTTTACTTCTATTTCCCCTATCGGACCCAGCCCCTCTAGATCTGCCCCCAGGGGGCCACACCCACCGTTTATACAAAATTGAGACCCCTTGTCCTACGGATTCTACTGACCAAATTTGGTCAAATTGTTCTTTTCCGTGTTCGTTGAGCCTACAAACTCGGGTTCGAACTTGAAATCCCGAGATTATCATGAAAAGCCAAATTGACATATATCGTATATAAGCCGCCGGCTGGATTTTGGGTTCTTATCATCTTGCCAATGAAACGGGAGAAAAACGGGAATTCCGACAGTCATTTTGTTTCTATTATAATTCTGTTTCGCGCGAAATCGGAAATCTCACTTGCTTTACAAAAATGTAAAATATTACGTCTATTATTCCCAAAAAAGTGTAATTAGGCCCATTGTCACATGGAACCCCATTGGTTTTACGTTTCAATATTTGTGTATGACTTACATGTAATAACATATTTAATTATTTCCATTAAAATGCTCTAGAATTTCCCTTTAAAAGCATCCTTAAACCTCTCGAGTGAAGTCAGAAATAAGCAGTTAAAATTACTATACAAAGGTTGCGCGCCGGTTACGTTTGTATCAATCTTAACAGGAACGTCGGAAATAATGACGTTGTGAGCGACGTCAGGAGTCATACATCATACTATGTAAAGTGGCGTCAAATTGCTTTTTATATCATTTTTGATCAGGAATGTCTATATTTCGATATCATAAATATCACAAAATTGATTTTTTTTACGACTAGAGGACCCTAATCCCAGCCGGCGGATCAATTATATACTGTACTAAACAATATTTCGTATATCGCAGAATATCAGAGAACTTCATTTACCATATACAATATTTACATGCATGTATATCCTTTTAATTACTGGCGAAGAGGGTTGCTGATAACAAACAATCGACTCTAATAATGGAAATTGCGCATTGCAATGCTCATATGGTGGTGACGTCATTTGCATTAACTCGTCAATGTTCTTTGCTTCTGTGAAAGTTTCAATACAAAAGTGAACCTCTGCGTGCGATGCGATATATATCGTCTAAAATATAAATGCTTACTCTCTTAAATTATTATCAGGTGGTTACCCTATTTTATACAATGAATTGATAAGATAAACTCTATTGAATCAGAACAAATATATAATTTACACAATTATAAACACTGGTTGCATCCTTGCAGGTCGGGGATCGAGAAAGAAATACACCTGTCGTTATCCGCATGTACCGATAGAGAATTGCTTTTGTGCACTCTACTTTAGGACACAAAGCGACTAAATAAATCTGCTGCACCAATTGCAATATTTGGAATCTTAATATTTCTCTTTACTTCTAACTAAATTGTATTTCCTAGTGTCTTGCTAAGCAATGCCTCACGTTTGGCTTTAATGTTGAGCGTTCACCCAGGTGAGAAAGGCAATGAGTTGCGTCCCAAGGATGGGACATACCAAATTCCTTCAAACTGGTAGCTGTTAATCAGAGTTTAGGGGAATGGCAACAACTGGTTCACCCGTTGTCGGTATAATGT